TCGGCGGCGCCCCCGCCGCCCTCGAGGCCCTTGCGCCTCTGCGAGTGGAGCGAGATGACCCTTCGCCCGAGAGGAGAGGCTTTTCAGGGGTGGCCGTGATGACCAGCAGAAGTCGCAGGAGCGTCTTCCCAGCCTGGATCCTTCGCTTTTGAACAAGGGAGTGCTGGCCCTTGGAGCAGAGGGCCTTGTGTGTGAGCCCTGCTGCCCTTCCTCACAAAATGCGTGATGACTCACTGAAGGACAGGAGGACACTGCCCCAGGGGCGTAAATCGCAGGCCCTCGCGGGTGTCTCCTGCGAAGGCGGGGGTGGGGCTCACTTTGGAGCTGTTGTCTGGCACACCCAGTTCTGGGTTTCTTTGCCTTTTTTTTTTTTTTTTTTGTCCAGATCTGGCAGCCTCTCTGGTTGTTTGCGGGGTGGTGGTGAGCCCCCTGCTTCGGCTTTCTGGAGGGAACACTTGGACCTCAGAGTGGCCACCTAACTGGCCAGTCTCCCTTAGCAACTGAGGCTCAGGGTGGTCTCTGCACACTGCGGACCCCCGTGCTGCTTCCCGTCCATGGATGCCAGCGAGCATGGCTGAGGTTCTTGCACCAGCTAGTTGTTTTCAACTTTATTCCATATTGTGGGTGTGAAGTTAAAGAGATTTCTTTTCACCTCTCCAGCGGGTTCTGCACCCCCAGGCTAGAGAGAGGCAGTGGGAATGAGAAGGCCGTGGTGGGAAAGTTACAACAAAGGTTTTTTGGGGGGAAGTGGGAGGTAACTTGATCTCTTGAGTGGTCAGCTCTCTATAGAGGACATTAATTGGATGCCCTCTGCCATTCCCATGTAAGGACCTACTTAGGACCTTAGGTGGGTTTTGTCATAGCTGACCTTTAGATAGGATGTGGCCAGTGTTCGCGCTGTCCCCCGATTTTCCTTCACCATCTTATACAAGGCTGATTGAAATGTCCCCCAAGAGCTGCATCAGCGTGGAATGTTGCCCAGCTTCCAGGTGGCCTTTCAGTGGAAAGCCAGATTTCAAACTAAATAATAAACCAAATGCTATAACAAGATTATCAGAGTTCAGTAAAGAAATAATGTTACTCATAGAACAGAGTTTAGGACTTTTGTGCAAAACTTACTCTCACTTGTATTCAACTTAATGACATTTAACCACTGCTAAATGAAACCAGTGCTGTTCTATCTGGAGGAACACTCTTCCACTTTGTACATCACTCTTTGTCAATGTGCTGAATGAAGTAACCTGTGTTTGCTGTGATGCATAACCTTGTACCACTGGGGTATCAAATACCAGAATGTCTTCCCAGTGTGGACAGTGTTTGGTGGAGCTCCCAGCTGTAAAACAGGTTTAGAAGCAGGAGTGGCATCCACTTCCTAAACCACATGCCTCTGGAAACTCTATGAACTTGGAAAAACAACGCTAGCTATAGAAAGGCATTGGGTCTTTTGTTCATAGAGTCGCTGAGTCACGCTTGCTCAATTCAGCAGCAATCAACAACATCAGGATATGAGGGAGGCACAGGTACAAGCTGGAAATCCTCTTAAGAAAGCTCCAAGCCAGACCTTAGAAGTTGTCAGGGGTTAAGTGCCAATTCTTGGATTTGTTTTTGCTAACCCCTCCCTCCCTGAGTCAAGCATAACGTTTTCAGAGGAAAGAGCTTAGCTTCATTTGTATCGAATTCTCTTGGCGATTGGCTCCCTGTTAATTTTCGATACAGACACAGGGAAGCTGGGTTCTCGCCTTCTGCTTTCAAGCTCTCTGTTTCTCCACCATTCTTGGTGTCCTGTCTCTTTCTTCATTCTTTTTCCTCTGCTAACACACGATAGATAGATAGATACATACATGGATGGGTAGATAGATAGATAGAGCTATTTCTTAGAAGAATATAATGCTCAGGTTTGCCTTTCTTTTAACTAGTAAAGAGAAATTATTCTTGGGGACTTAAGAAGACTTCAGGGGTTGTTATCTAAAGTTTGAAGATTCTATCTAGGCAGTAATTGTAGGAATTCATCCACCTTCCATGGTGCCATAAAGTCAAGAATCAGTGAGAATTTGGAATTCTTTTGGACATTACCCCCTGCTGACCAGACCTCTTTTATGAAGTTTGGTGGAAACATTCTGTCATTTGAACTGGGCACCCTCCAGTTCTTGCTGGAGGCAGTGACCCCCACCTTTCATATCTTCTTCTTGGTCCTGACTCCTTACTCTAGGCGAGTACACGCTGTTGGCTGAGACTGGGGAGCTCTTAGAATCCAAGACCGTGACAGCAAACGGGGAGGTGGAATCAAAGTCCTGAACACATTCTCGGTCCAGCTGCAAGGGGTGGTGGAGGTGGGTTTCCTTATGTTTCTGCTCTTCCCAAATCTCAATGTCTTCCTCTTTTTCTGACTGGAGCGTGTCCTGTTCCAAACCCCAGAGCTGGTGTATGAGCTGGAGCCTGGGCAGAAGCCATGGACCAGGAAGACCACTTCCAAGACAGCTGTCCAGGTGGGTGACCAGACCTGGGTACGCGAGGCCTGTAGCCTGCAGAGCTCGAGGAGACCACACATCGGGATCCCGTGGGGAGGGTTCTGTTGTAACCTCTGCGGTGCAGATGAGCTTGCGGGCCTTTGGACCTTTGCCTCCTGTGTCCTTCACTCTCAGGATACTCTTCACGCATCCACAGAGAAGTCTGAGGCTCGGGACCGTGTGGACGGTGGGGGACAAGCAGAACTCTTGCTGTTGATTTGACCCTCAGTCGTAAGGTGAGCATTCTGAACCCGCCAGCCAACTAAATGGGGGACAAAAGATGTGATGGGAGTCGGTTTGTGCAGAGATTATAGCTCTGGAAACCCGAAGGTCAGTTCTGCCCTGTCCTGTGAGCGTTCTATGAGTCACATGTCCACTGCCGGCACTAAAACCTGGCGTTGCCTCTCGGCACCGCTGTGGCCTGGAGCAGGGTCTGTGCCTTGATTTATCAGTTAGGCTGAGTTTAGCTGCTGTCACAGCCCCATCTTCAAACGCTGGTTGTGCACTTGAAAATGTTCTTATTCCGAGCTCGGTGTGGCCTGGCAGGAGTCTGGACTACACAGCCACCCAGAGACCCAAGCACTCACCATTTACTGTGTTACACAACGTTCCTCATTAATGCTGGGGGCCGGGGGAGAACTGGCTCTTCCGTTCAGCAGTTTGCTCTGGTGGCCTAGAGGTACGAAACGGCACTGTATTCCATGGCCAGATGTCCCTTGGGAGAAGGATGGGCACTGTCCTCGCCTGCAGTGAGCTGCTTCTGAAAACCCTGGAGGGTCTGACCCAAGGGTACACAACAACAGTTATGTTCATTCACAACAATAACTTAGTCTTGCCCTTCAAGGCTTGCGACCCCCGGGCCTCTCAGTGACCTGGGAGTTAGACAGTCATGCATTCTGGCAGTTAGGTAATGGTGGGGTCACTCTGTTTTGTCATCTGTTGTGGTCATCCTCTGTTTTGACCTGGTCTTTGAAAGCCAGCCCTATCAGTCAGTGAGGAGAGGGTGTGGTATTTGTAAAGGTTTCGTTTACATTTTGGTTCCCAGTGAACACGGAGGACAGAGGTTGCATTCTCCCTGATGCACTAACGTTCTCCTTTCTCCGTTTCCATCAGTCTGGCTTCTCTGTCACCTTCCCATCTTCTTTGTCTGAAAGTCATGACTGGTCTCCTGCCGGTTCATTTTGAAAGATGCCTCGTACTCATGGGTGACAGTACATTGTGAGTCAGTCTGTTATTTCATGGAATAATAGTGGCCTCAGGGTCTCGTTTCTGTTTGAGGTTTAAAGGATCTCAGGACGGATTATGAAAATGGGGCCAGGTCGGTCAGGGTTTCAGAGTATGTGAGTCATGGGGAATCAGCCCACTCGGTGGCACCTGCTGGCAGTGCAGTGTGCTCCTGGAAGTCTGCCAACCTGAACTTCAAAGTGGTCAGCTGCTCTGTGGGGGAAAGGCCCTAGTCGGGGACCTATTCCCCCAGGAGAGTTGGAAATCTCATGGGGCCTTTGTCGGGTGTCCTGTCGGCTCACTGTCAGTTTGAACTGACTGAATGGCACCTACCAACATGGACTGTGTTACAGTAGAACATCAAAGCCTCCTGACCATTCACAGACGTGCAACACCTAGCAAATAAAGTCCCTCAGTGAGAGGACATGGAGACGGACACAACGGGACAGTGGGCCAGGACTTGGTCATCATGATGGTGTTTTCAGGAGGGCAGTTGGAGTCTGGGCTTAAGTGAATATTCAGCTTTAAAAGGTAATTCCCACGGCTTTGCCTTGTGAATGCCCCTCTGCATGGCCCCAGGGAAAGGTGACATACTCCTCTGATCTGTTTTCTGTCCAGTAGTAGATTTTTATAAAAAAGTACCTTTTTTTTTCCAAATAAGAGGCACAAATAGCATCATTTCATGTGCTCTTTTTAGGGTAAAATAGTAAGGATAGATTTATTTGGAAGTTTCATCCCCAAAGGGACAGACCTTCTTCCCTGAAAGGCACTAAGGAACAGGCCCTCAGGCATCCAGATTTGTTCTCATCGCTGGGTGGCCTGGCCACCGCCAGCATATGCTTCTGCTGGGGATTTTCGCCCGATCTCTGCCCCCTTGTCATGTCGGTTCCCGGTCATCGGTCATCATTCCTCCTGTTAGGTCGGCATCCAGCCCGCCCGGGTCTGGCCTGTGAGGGGACTGCCCCCAGCTCCTCTCCTCTCCCCGAGTCTCCGCTGTGTCTGGCCTCGTGTCCTCTCGCTGAGGGTGGTGTTGAGTTGGCCTCTCGGACACCTGCTGAAGGGCCAGCTGTGCGAGACTAAGCCTCGGGGGACACCCAGCTTTCTCCGGCTGAGCAGCTGGTGGGTATGAACCCGGCGCCTTCGGGTTGGCAGCACGGCGCCTTGCCCCTGGCTCAGCAGAGCTCACTGCCGTTGAGAGCAGGCCCTTCCTGTGTGTTTGATGTTTTCCAGGGGACACGGCAAGACCTGAGACCACAGAGCCGACCGCTGATGGAGCCTCAGCTTACAGAGTCCTCACCCAGGGCGACTGTGGGGACCCCGCCTTGTGAGAGACGGGAATCGGGGTGCCCCCTGGAAATGCAGGGCCAGTGCTGGCGATCAGAGGCAGACCCCCAGAAGGAGCAGCTCCCAGGGAAAAGGAGCCCCACACTTGATGGTGTGGGGACAGCTGCAGGGGCACGTTGCAGAGTTCTGCAGGAGCAGGTCCCCCCAGGAGAGGGTCTCGGTGGAGGCGACGCACCTGGAGCAGAGGAAGAGCCCAGGACGCCCGGAGTGAGAAGCCTGTACCTGTGCAGGGCGTGCGGCAAAGCCTTCCCCCGGAGACCCCTGCTCACGCAGCATCAGCGGACGCACGCCGGGGAGCACGCCGGGGCCCAGCCCTTCGTGTGCACCGAGTGCGGGAGAGCCTTCAGCAAGAAGCCAGACCTGCTGCAGCACCACCCCGTGCACTCGGGGGACAAGCCCTTCACGTGTGCGCAGTGCGGCAAGGCCTTCAGCCTCCGGGCCCACCTGGCCCGGCACCAGCAGTTCCACGCCGGGGAGAACGCCTGCCAGTGCCTGGCCTGCGGGAAGGCCTTCGCGCACAGGTCGCACCTGGCTCAGCACCAGCGCGTGCACAGCGGGGAGAAGCCCTTTGCCTGCGCCGCCTGCGGGAAGGCCTTCAGCCGGGGCTCCTGCCTCACCCGGCACCAGTGCCTGCACGGCGAGGAGCAGGCCAACGCGTGCGCCGAGTGCGGCAAGGCCTTCAGCCGCCGCTCCAACCTCCTGCGGCACCGGCGGATCCACACGGACGAGAAGCCCTTCCGGTGCAGCGAGTGCGGCAAGGCCTTCACCCAGAGCGCGCACCTCACGCAGCACCTGCGCGTCCACACGGGCGAGAAGCCCTACACGTGCGACGACTGCGGCAAGGCCTTCGCCCACCACTCCACCTTCGTCCTGCACAAGCGCAGCCACTCGGACGAGAGGCCCTTCGTGTGCAAGGTGTGCGGGAAGGCGTTCCGGGACCGGCCCGGCTTCATCCGCCACTACAGCATCCACTCGGGCGAGAAGCCCTACGAGTGCTTCGCATGCGGCAAGGCCTTCAGCCGCCAGGCGCACCTCACGCAGCACCAGAGGACGCATGCCTGTGCAAGGAGCCCTTTCTCCCCTGGCCAAGTGCCCGTCAGCATCCACCGGCTTCTGGGGACAGAGTCTTGACGTGGGAGCCACGGAGAAGGGTCACGGGCCAGAGAATCGACCCTCTGCATGTGATGACCCCCCACCATCGGGACCCTTCACCAGTGTCCTGTGTCATCGAAGAATCTGTGTGGACATGGATCCCACTGCACCCTGCATCGGAAGTCACCCAAGGCAGAGGCCCAGCGGTCACTGTTCACGTGGGAAAGCATCGGCCACATCTGATCGTTCACCCTGGGTTGTCACTGAAGGAATACTTAGCGAGTGAGAAGGAGGCAGATGTCACACCTGCTGGATCAGTGGCAGGACGGGCTCAAGGCCGCACGGACTGTGCTCGGAACAAGAGAGGCAGGAAAAGCAATCTCGATGGGACAAGGCTTCATTGGGGCCCTTAAACACCAAGACTGCCCCCCAGAATCGCGTGTCAGCCAGCATGCACTGGGGGCAGTGATGTGCACGTCCACGTCCACACACAGCAGTTGGGGTTTGGGTGCTTGTATACCTACTGCTGGGCAAGAACGGGTGTACGAAGGCGAGGGGAAGAAACACATCCAGTCGACGCAGGCTGGCTGGCTGGCTTCGGGCTTAGGTAAGGTGGGCCAGTTGATGTTCCCATCAAGTTTGGTATCTGGTATGTTTTTCTCTCGGTCCAGATCCCTCTTCAGCGAGTGCCATACTTTACGCAAATAACATACACATTAAAAACTTTAAATCTGTGCAGCCCTTTCGCTTGTTAGTTTCCTATGTCTGTCAAGAGTGCACATCATTGTGTGTGTTTGTGTGTGCGGGGGGGGGGATAAATACAGTATTATCTCTGCCAGAGTTCTGAACAGGTAGGATCCCCCTTGAACATGCTCGGGACCTGCAGCAGAAAAGTGGAAGGAATCAAAAGTCACTGCCATGGATTCAGAAGTGGCCCAGCTGCCAGCATTGGGTGTCCAGTGTTGTAAACTGTACGGGCGCTCCCCTGCCTCTCTCCTGAGGAACCACCGGTGGGTTCAGATGGAGAGGGAGGTGCAGCCTGTGGCTTGGAAACACAC